TTTCATTCACGATTAATTAACTTTACCAGACAATATGACGATGAATTAACTAACATAATTTAATTCGTTTCGTATTTTTCTTTCATTCAGAAATTCACCCTCCCCATCTGTTCACAGATAGACTTGATCAAAGAGACGGTTTTCGCATGTTAGTTTTGTGAACGTGACTTGAAGACCAAGGCTAAGCAATCAGTTCAATCGTCTGTTACAAACAACAATATCGTCTGGTTTCATACGAAAAGCGCAATGACGACATCAATTACGTGATTTTTGCGCTCGTTTTTCACTTTGGTTTGTTTGCGTTAAATATCACGTGACAGTTGTAATTCATGACGTAAACAAACCAAGACCCCCAACTCATTGACCTTTAAACCCAAATTAAAATTCGAATTTTAATTATTATCCATCCAGATGGTCGACGAATCTTGTGACGAATTTAAAAGAGTCATTCCACGCTCGCGTTACGGTCCAGTTACAGTGAATCAGAAATTTTACAAAACATAACGTCACATGTTGATGTCAACGTTACGTAACATCCGTGATGAAGTTGATGACGTCATGATGAAACCACAAATATTTACAGTTAGCAATCATGACGTAATTAAGTTGATAGCTGATTTCAACGTGACGTAGTAATCGTGGTGACGTTGTTAGATGCCATGACGTAATTTTATAAATAGGTGACAACCATATTACCATTGTATGAATAAACGTGTAGTTAACGAATGTATGAATTATGTTTACAGTTAGTAAGATAAAGTATGAGAGAATATTTATACTGTGGAATAAAAGAGATAGACAATTAGTTTATAGATTGAGTAGAAATTTTATAGAAAAGATCTGACAAGCAGTGAGATGGAACTAAGGCAGAATGAGATAGGAAATGACAACCAACAGATTTTTAAAAGGGCAGGCAAATTACAACGACATTGAGTTGAGGCAGAAACATAAGTTAATAAAACTAACGATTAGAAATGGTTTGGTGTGAAATGCCCATCGTAAAGAATTAACCCAGGTCAGCCTACAATAACAATGACTGCCAACGTTTTTTGAAAGTGTACCTTCATATTTGAAAAGATATTTTGGAAACTTGTTCTTGTCTTGTGAAAATAATAAATCTGGTAATGTATTTTGAAGAAAATATCTAACCTAGGAATGAATCAGATAGAACCTCCAGGACGAACTGTAGCACATTTGGCAATAGCACTGGAATCTTTACATGACGGCGATGGCATGGTAACGTCTAAGATATAGTGGTCGTGGGTTTTAAACTCGGCCAGTGTGTGGAAGTTTGGTCACTTTTTTAGCTTTAGTTTATCTTTTACTTTCTAATGCGTAAATATTAATATACATATTAGGTTTAATTAGGTGTTTAAATTACCCCCAAGGCACACAGGCATATACCACAAACCGTTAAAATTGTCATCGCTGTCACTTTACTGGGTTTTATCGACACGTAAATTAAATCATGGGCTCATTCAACTGGCTTTTAACTAGTCTGATAGCTACTGGACTATTTGGTCTTCAATACACTCACGTACACGTGATACTGTAATATTTTTCTTACTGACCCAACAAGGCCATGCTAAAATGGGTCAAGGGCACTTTTGGTCGTCGTTTTCAAAGTGAGATTTTTTGAATTTTTATCTAAAATCGAAAGATTCTCAGTATGGGTTTCTGAAATATTTTGATAGAATATTATATGTGAAAAGTGAAAATTTTCCTCAATTGATACAATTATGCCAACGCCTTATATCGCGAGTTCAGGTATGGTAGACTCCAGGATTTGTATAGTGATTTTTTTCAGAAACTTCTTCTGGATGAGTAGATTTATGAGCTTTGGTCGTTGATTTTAATCACCACCATATGCTTGTTCTATTGAAATTCTCCGTCGTCCTAAAAGCTGTGTATTGCATCCACTTTATTTATTTATATCAGTGAACTATAGATTATACATAAACGAACCTAGGTATTAAAACCAAATTGCATCTTTATATCTTTAGAAAAATGAGTCAATTTATTGAGACAGAAAACCTCAGGAGACTGTCCTCGACCAGTGCTGTTTTGTATCACATTTTAATCTCACTCCGAAATGATGATCGTCTAAACATCAACTTAATTCAATCAGCGTCTCAATAAACCGTGTTTATAATTTAATAAGAGTAAGGAGATCTATCACTAAACATATTCCATAAACTAGTTTTAAGCGCAACCTCCCTGGAGTTTAAACTTAATACTCCATAATCTAATTTTACACTAAACCTTCACTTTGATACAATCGGTGACAAAGTCCATAAACCAATTTGTATTAACTGTATTTGGAGCGCAAATTTGAATTGAATTCATATGGATGTTTCACGTTGAACGAATTACAGACTGCCATGATGATGAGAACCGGACGAGATCCAATACATTGGCCATTCTCATGGGATTGTCGAATTGTAACGTACGTTTAAAGACC